GATAGGTGGGGGGAATTCAAAAAAAGTCATTCTCAGGCCACAATTGAATTATCTTTGATAGGACACTTGGTCGGAATCATCTGAAGAATCTCTTGACATCCTACTGAATACACATTTCCCGGGCTGCAAGAATGCTGTCGCAGAAATTGCTTTTGAAAGCCGGACTCTATCGGGAATCAATAGTGATATAATCTCTCATGACAGCATTTCTTGGGCGATTGATAGCTTTCCCCATTCAAATAGTAATTTTCCAAAGATGTTACAAATTGCAAAGGAATATATCATCCCTTGGCTTTATAGAATATTTACGCTCAGCCACTCTCTCAACCATGTTATTGTCAATTGGAAAAAGGTTAAGGTCGTTTTCATTCCCAAAGACAATTAGTATTTCATCTTTTCAGCTCAAAACGCTGGAAACACTTATCGACTTGCATACTAAACTAGAAGGCTTAACTCAGCTTTCAACTAGCTATACAATCAGCTATACAAAGTTCAGAGATCAGCATGTATGGGAATAACAGGTGCTCTGAGATCTAGTCCTTCAGAAGCCCTGAATACTATATTGCACGTTCTACCCATAGATCTGCATGTAACTAATCCGGAAATTGGGGATCAATAACATATGGACATGCTAAGATTTTAAGCCTACTACCTCTAATCTTGAACCAAACATCCGACTATATTATCCCAAACACGGACTTTGATAGAGTTTTCAAAGTCAGAGTTCCTTCTAGGAGCGAGTGGTGTACCGAGTGAAAATATGGCAGGAATCTTTACGGATGGTTCTTAAATGAACTGCGGTGTTGGTCTGGTGTCTTTTGTGAAGTTAAAATAAACAATTTTATCTGATAATCAAGCGGCGCTTCCCTCACTAAACTCTTATTCTAACATTTCACTATTACTCAGACAATACAAGAAAGATCTGTCAAAGCTGGGTAGCCTATCTGATATTACCCTTGTTTGGGTCGATTCGCATAGGGATTATTATTGAAATAAACAAGCAGATAGTACCAACTCCGAGTGAATCGATTCTTTCATCGAGTGAATCAAGAGTTTACCTAACGAGATTCACGCGATTATCACATGTGATAAATTCGCTTATTTTGCTTAATTCACTCGTTTATCCCACGAGAGTGCGTGGGCGTTATTTAAAGTTAAAAATACGTATATGAACTATTTGTTTATATGTAAATACAACTGATACTTCATGCCCACCACAGTCCATAAAATTCTTATGGATGGAAAGGACATAACATAACCAGCAGAACTTTCTGTAGTAGAACTGCATGAATACTGATGTTTTGCATCGCTTGCTTGCACCATCTGATGCTTATATAAGTAGTATAAGACGTCAACCTCGTAAACATCTTTTGGAACTAGATGATGTAGTAAAAGAAATGATAATTGACGAATAGAAAGTTTAAATATTTTTGAATCACTTTGTTTATACTCCAATAAAAATATTCAGAAATTTGTACAAAAGTATCCGAAAGGACAAATCGATTTCAACCCTATTTTATCATATTTATTGAGAAAACCTCGATTTAAATCCATGTGTCGTATGGACTCATACGCACAATTCGGAACAAATACTTGTTGTCTGAAATAGAACGCACTTGTGTATATGAAAATGCGATCAGTGCGTAGGGTTTTCTCTAGATATTTCTTAAGCAGTCGAATGACGAATAAATTGGTTTAAAGTGACTTTTTTCATTTTAGATTTATTTTTTTAAGTATGTACATATGTAAGCATAATATAACAATATTGGTTGTATCATGGAATGTAAGCACTTTTATCGTTAACGGTTTATATTTTATAAATTAACCCATTAGATCCCAACCATCTTAAAATCAATAAATTTAAAATTTTTGTACTTTTCTACATAAAATTAGCATTGCTAATTTTTCCATTAGATTAATTATGAAATGAAATTCTCTGTGAATTACCGTATTCAGTGCACTTTTTCTACACTTTATTGATATTTGTGCTAAAATAAATAATAAATTAATTAAAATTCAACTGGGATGTACTCTTCACTGACGCAACTGTCATGCAATTCCCATTCACCAAAAATGTTGTCTAGTAGATCCTCAAATAATTAACTGTATACATCAATTCCTTTTTCATCAATTTCTTGGAAATATTAAAAAAAATAATGAAAAAAATTAAATGTGAAATGATTTTATTATAACGATAATCAGTAGCACCTACAAGGCTTCTAAAATATTTACCGAAAAGGACATAAACATCCTTAAAAGATAATTAAGATACATATATGAAAAAATAGGCATGGGTTCAAATTGTGCCTAAGCGAGTACACCAACATTTAAGCTTATAAAAATAAATTGAAATACTAATTTTTATTTTTTTTCAACAAAATCCCAATGTTATGATCTGTTTACTTTATTTTTCAGTAAAAAGTTAGACATCAAATTACAATGAATGGTTCGAGAAATCGTTGACAAAAAATTATTTAAAATTTACCGTTATGTTTTTATGACTTTATAATTCGATAAATTTACTCTTTAGATTCTAAAGTAATGTTCCAAATATCTAATTTTACAAAAAAAAAAAAACTCAGTAATATGGATAATGTAGCATTTTAAACCGATTATTTTGTTTTCGTACTCGCTTCGTACTCGCTTGGGTACAGTGGGAACGAATGGGTTAATTAAAGTTTTCTAGATTTATAAAATGTTGCCTATATTTGTCAGTACGAAAGCTTTTCCCCTCAGTATTTCATTAATAAAAGCTTTAGTGAAGTACTGTTAATACAACATACCTAAATGTATGCTATACTTTTTATACTTTGTTAGTGGTTAACCATTTTTTATCAAAGACATAAACCTTTATGGAATGAAAAACAGCTTTTTAACAATTCTTTTCAAACTGTTAATAAATTCCAATGAATTTTAGAAAAAAAGAAAAAAATTATAGAAAAAATAATAATTTTAAATAAAAAAAATTTTTTTGAAATTTTAGAATTTAATAAAAATTATAAAATTCTAAAAAAAAACTATATTTTAAAAATATAAAAAAAAAAACAAAAAAAGTTTGTTTCCACGTTGTGGAAACTTTTTTTCGATAAATATAAAATTATCAATAAATGTGGAGACTTTTCGATATTTTTGTCTTATAAAAATTATCGTTTTTGGAGAAAAATTAATTTGATATTTAAATTTTTTATTAAAGACACAAACCAAACAAAAACCAACAAAGGTGAATCGATTACAAGGTGCTATTAATTGTCATATTTAATTTTTTTTAAATCAGTTAGAAAATTTCCTTCAGTTTACATTAGGAGTAAGCAGCGTTGCCACTTTGGTCCAATTGGACCAAAATTGGTAGTTTCAAATCTCTGAAATGACTTTTGGTTGTTTGGTTGGTAGGTTTAAATTTTGGTCCAAATTTGGTAGGATGAGATAATTTTGATCTCATGCATATGAATTTTTAAACATTTCTGACCTTGTTATGGCAAAGTAATAAGAATTTCAATAAATACGTCAATCTTAAGTTTATCCTTGTTAAGTTTATATTGTTTGTTCTAAGAAAATATTAAGTTTCTATGTATTTCAACATTTCTGATTCATGAAGTTAGTTAGTTTGAAATGAGGATGTTACATAAAATCCGAAGGAATACTTCTAGGCCTGCATCGGTACCGTTGTGAACTTCCTAACCAATGCTTCAGCTATAACATAAACCACTAACCTACTGGGGGTCACACTAATTCATTTTTTTTTTTCTAAGAAGCCAGATTCATGAATGAATATATAATTTGGGGTCTACTACCTTACAAACGGAATCACAAAATTAATATACCCCAATCTTTTTTGATGGGTATAACAATGTTAGGGTATATTGATTTTGTGATTCCGTTTGTAAGGATATATTTTTTCTAGCTTCTTATTAGATTCTAAGACGATATAGCCATGTCCGCCCGTCTGTCTGTTGAAACAATTTTTTAAGAACCGAAATCTATGTCGATTGGTCCACAATTGATCCTATTTCAGCCATATAGCCCCTTTTCAGGAAAATAATTTTATTATCAATAAATAGCAAATTAGTTAACCGTAGTATAATAAAAGGATTTATCCATAAAGTCCTCAATTTATACGATAGATGCTGATGGTGGATATACATTTATGATTCGTCATAGCCGAATATAATACTATTACTATTTTCTCGGGAATGATTTTGGTACAAATTTTGTCGAAAACAGCAATTATGTATTTCATAACTAATTACGTAAAAGTAAACCATTGATTCTTTGGAACAAATCATTGTATGATATTACATATTAGTTTTAAAAATAATGAAACTCTAAACAAAAGCAATTGTCCCTAAGGAAAAATTTGGTAGTTTTTGGAACGTTTTGGTAGTTTTTTGTCGGAACTTCGGTAAGAAAAATAAATTGTGAGTGGGAGTAAGTACAAAATTTCTAGTGATATGAGGGTACGTACGTCAATTCTTTAGTAAAAAAAGTGTACAAATTAAAAAATAAGAAATCGTCTTGTCGACTTTACCACCCTATAACTCGTCATTAGTGATGGTACTCTAATTTATTATAACTCATAATTTTGTCTAAAGATCTAAACAAATTGTGGAAGAACACACTTAATCAAAATTTGGAGATACGCTCCTACAGTACTTCAAACAAGGACAAATTTTTGGTTTGTCACAATAATTTTTTTTAAAAGTTTTCACTGCTCCTAGCTTTTTAAAACTATAACCATTTAAAATGTCGAATTCGCAAAATCTATGAGCCAAAGTAGCATAAACTCAAATTTATACAAATTATTGAAATAATTTAATTACCCAAAAAACACTTGCTGATTTAAGTCAGTCGCTGAGTTAAAATAATTTAAAATTATGGAAATACTCATATGTATCCTCTAGTTTTAAAAGTATAGTTTAAAGGTTATGACGTTTTTAAAGCAACGCATAAGAAATTGGCGTTACAAAGACAAATGACAAAAATTATACAGAAGTCCAACTTACCTTTGAAGTCAGCTATTGTTTTGTCGTTTTTATTGAGTATTAAACTTTTCGACATCAACTTTTCCGCCAGCAGTGGGTTCGCTGCAATCAGGTAGCGTGATGAGCTGTCATCGAATATATTGGTACTGTCGTTGTTGCTATTGTTATTATTATTGTTACTTAAATTAGAGTTGCTATTGCTGTTGTTGGTATTTTGGTTAAGAAATGTACTACTATTGGCCTGCTCCTGGGTAGAAGAAGCTGCAGTGGGTTCCAATGTTAGCGAATTTGTACCTACAGAACCCAAAGCAGAATTTTCACCCGGCAGCTGTATCGCATTTCCCGAGATTAAATTATTGCCGGAGGTAGTGACATTGCCACCACCACCCCCATTAACCATGCCATTTACGACACCGCCAACTCCACCGCTGCCATTGACTAATGCAACGAATGTATCATGTTGACTTCGTCCCACAACATCACTGGTAACATCACTGATATTGTTGTTCTCCTCCTGTGAGTCATAAAAATGGAAAACAAACAAAAAGTACAATTAGTTTGAGACCTACAAATAATAATAATAAGAATAACAATGGATTGTAATTGTTGCAAATATTCAACAATAAAAAAGGAAAATACTTTACTTTCACTTCAACTGTTGCTAAATCGGATAGAAGACTCTCAATTTCAAAATTGCTCTCTGATAGTTGACGAAACAAGTCATCGGAGGAATCATTGTTGCACAATGAGGGCTCCAAGGCATTTAACTCTGCTGTTGTGCTTTCGGCAAGTTGAGTACTTTCGCTAACATTTTCATTAGATTCGTTAACTTCATCCTGTTTGGTGGAAATCCATCATAGACATAACAGACGCACACACAAACACATAAAAAGGAAAGGAAAAATAATCAATGTTTTATTTTTTAAAATTTGTTCATTTAAATGATATAGGCATATAGTAATATATAGACGGGACTGAATCAATTGTCAAACAAAAATTTGTATTCTCTTCACACAGACGAGTTTTGAGAGAATTAAACACACTTTTGCCAACAAATTGTTTATGTTTTTAATTAATATATAAAAAATAATAAGATTCATAAGTCCTTATATTTTATCAAAGGTTTATATACCAATTTTACAAACAACATTTTTATTTTATAAAAGGTTTATAAAACAAAATTTTCATACAAAATCTAATTTATAAACCGTTTATAAAATAAATATTTTGTTTGTGAATAAGGGGATTAGGGTATTATTCATAATTATTTAAGAATCAAATTTTCACACATATTTATACCCTACACCACTTTAGTGGAGTGGGTATTATGCGTGCTGATGTGCTGATGTTTGTAACACTCAAAAATTTTGCTCCTACACCCACCTTAAAGTATACCAATAGGCTCAGAATCCCTTTATGTCTGTCCGTCCGTCTGTTTGTCCATTTAAACCTTGTGCGCACGATACAGGACGCAATTTTTAAGATAATTTGATAAAATTTGGCACATACTCATCTTTTGCCCCAAGGATGAACGCTATGGAAAATTGGTCCATTATTTCGCCTAGCCCCCATACAACCGTACCCCCAGAATAGGGCTTTTGAGTTTATAATTATGTTTAATGCTGTAGGACCTATACAAAAATCTGCAAATCTTGATTTTATATAAGTTTAAATGATGCTTCCGATTTTCGTAATGATCGGGCCTCATTTGATCCTAGCATACAAAGACCCCTTCAGATTTTTTCTAGTTTTTCTATAAACTTTTGATAAATTATTATGAGTAAGTTCCTCAAGAAGTAGTTTACACTTCCCCCTAAGGGAGAAAATTATACATAAGTTTTGAGAACTTCCTAAAATTTTTTTCTTCTTTATAATCATTTATCAAAGGTTTATAATTACTAAAATTTGATTTTCAAACCATTGGTGAATTATTATCAAGCTAAGGGTTTTCATGCACTGAAAATGTGAAAAATATTAGGCAAAATATTTTTGTGAAATTTAATTACAACAATTACACTGGCCTGGACAAGGGTTAATGCAAAAATTTTAAGGTTTTGTATATGGGCAATTTCATGTCAATGACCCAACTCAAAAAATCGATTTTGATGAAATTTGCACCAAGGTTAGTACTAAGTAACCACAAGGCTCTTAAAGGAAATGGTCTCAGCTGTCTTTTGAGTAATAAAAAAAAACAACAAAAACGGCCATTTTGAAAAAATAGGGGAAAATTAAGTTCCAAATATTGAAAAAATCTTAATCGTGAGTTAAAAAATCTTTTTTTTATAGATATCGCACTCGTATCCCATTATGGGACTATAAAGCCCTTAAAGAAAATTGTTTTTCTTTGAGCAAAAAAAAAGGACCATGAAATGAATCTGGCCTACTATCCAATAGTACTAACCAAGTTGCAAATATCATCCAAATCGGAAAACATCGATTTTAAAAGTTGGGTCACTCATTTTAATATATGCAATTCTATTATAATTTTTTCTAAAGGAAGATTACATTTCAGTCCAGTATTTCGTATAAAATACATTTTTAGGGCAAATTTTTATTTTATATTTAAAATATGATTCAATTAAAATAATGGCACCTTGGTGTTGATTTTTATCTTAACAACCTATATATTTAAGCCTTTTTATGGAGAAAAATTTCTTTTTGAAGGTGGTTACAAAATTACAACACTTTTTTAATACCGTAGTGCAAGAAATTTAAATGTAGTTTCAATGATTCTTAAACATTTTTAATTTTCATATCTGAAATGTATGAAGTGATGGGAAAAAATAAAAAAAAATTATAAAAAACTAGTAATAGTTCTATGTATATTCACCATGTGATATGTTAAAAAAATCAGCCAGTATGAATTTTATTAAAAAATGCCAGTTGTAAAACGAAATAGTACCAGAAAGTCCACTTTTATAGATTTTCATTCAATCAGGATGCTACGAGTGTGCATAAAAACCAAAAAGTACCAGTCATAGAACGAAAATTCTTTCTTACCGGTATTCATTAAATTAGGGCTCTTAATGTTCAATTTTCCTGGTTCAATATTATAAAAACCTTTTGAAGAACGAAAAAGTACCAAAAAATCCCATTTTATAAATTCCTATTTACTCCGGGCTCTACATGCTTGTTTTTACGTTTCCAGGATCAATATTATCAAAAATTAAAAAAAAAAAAATTTGGAAGAATGAAAAAGTACTAAAAAGTCGCATTTTATATGTTCTCACTTAATCCGGGTCTACATTCTTAATTTCCTGTTTCTAGGATCAATATAATAGAAAATTCAAAAAGTACCTTTGGGGAGATGAAAAAGTACCAAAAGTCGCGTTTTATATGTTCTCACTTAATGCGGGCCGGGCCCTACACGCTTAATTTCATATGTCTAGGTTCAATATTATATAAAATTCCAAATGTATCTTTTGAAGGATCTATCATTTCTAATTTACTCCTGTACCTACATGTTTCAAACGTCTCTTTTTACCCAAGGACGAAGCCTTTTAAAATCGGATCATTATTTCACCTAGCCCCCATACAACCGTACCTCCCGAATATAGCTTTTGAGCCCATAATTATGTTAAATGTTTTAGTATATTAACAAAAATAAACAAAACTTTGTTTTATATAAGTCAAAATAATACTGCCGATTTTCGTAAGGATAGGGCCTCATTTGATACTAGCCCCCATACAAAGTCCCTTTCAAAAAATGACTTGAAGCTCAATAATTCACTTATAAATATAAACAATAATAAACATTACGATGAAATTCTGTATAAATTTCTCTATGAAAATTCATAAGGATAGGTCCATGTTTGCCCTTAGGCCCATATAACCTCTCTTCTATAAAATCACTTTTTTGTCAACAAATTGTTAAAATTTTTCGTAATTAAGGTGAAAATAATCCAATTTTTAAACATACAAACTGGTATAGGGTATCAATGGTTGGCCATGACCGACCATATGTTACATAAAATTAAGCATATAGAGTCCAGAGTAAATGAGAACCTATAAAAAGGGACTTTTTGGTAATATTATGTTCTTCAACTTATAAAATTTCAATTTATTTAATATTTCCTACTCTATCATTACTTTAGCAACAGCAAGAAACAACAAGAACGCCAAACGAAACAAAACACAGAATGGACGGGTTTTGCTGAATTTAAATAGGGAACTTCTCGAAAGCATGTCTGACAGAATTATTGAAGATTTGGATCCCGAAGATATCTGGGGTCTTCAGAAAATTAATTTCACAGACAGACAGACAGACATGGCCTAATCGACTCCGCTACCTATAAAGATTCGGAATATATATACTTTATAGGGTCGGAAAATTATAGTGTGGAAAATACAAACGGAATGACAAACTTATATATACCCTTCCCCGAAGGTGAAGGGTATAATGAAGTGGAGTTTTTGGTACCTTTTCGTCATTCAAATTGTACTTTATTTGATTTTCTGAATAATTGAACATATAGGACACTGATAATATTTATAAGAGCAAACTGTTTTGTACTTTTTCGGTCTTCAACTCGTACTTTTTGAAACCTTTTTAATATTAAACCTAGAAACATAAAATTAAATACAGATCTTCCTGATTGAATAAAAACCTATAACTTTCTTTTCATTTTTCCAATTTTTTTCTTTTTTTTGTAATAAAATACATACGGACTGTTTTTTTAAATACAATATGGTGATGGGTATATAATATTGGCACATTTTTGTATCTATATAATTAATAGGCAAGACGATTTTTTGTGACCCCTTTTACTCTTACAGTATACATCTGATCTTGGCAAAAAATATATCATTTTAAAGGTATTTGTTCACAGATGTGCACAATATATATATTAATGAGATCGGTTCAGAATTTTAGGAGCTATAAACGTTTAAAGTTGTTACTAATACATAGAAACAATAGTCACAAGTACGTATTCTTGAAATTAAAAACAAACAAACAAAGCAAGAAACAAAACAAAAAAGTAAACAACACGGCTTTTTGAAAAAAGAGAGGAGAGTGCAGAAACGTTTAACTTCTCTGTTGCTGTTTTCTTTTTGTATTTTGCATGATGTTTTGTTTTTGTCGTTTTTAATAAGATTTTTGTAAACAAATAAGTATGCAAACAGGCTCAGGTAATGCGAAAATAGGATTTTATTGTTTTATATTTTTATGTAAAGTGCTAAATTGTGAATGAGATAATGATCTATTTTGTTATAACATCGTTACGATTGTTACCAAATCGAATATTTCTATAAGAAGTAGGACTTCAGTTTTATATTCAGAGTTTTCGATTGAAGGTTTTTCGTTATTTAAACTTTTCAAAATAATTAAATTGAAGGACTTTCCTGAGGAAACAACGAACTGGGAATATAAAAACATGTGCAAATAATGCTTGGGGACACCTCAAGATATGCCAAAAAATGTACTGATATTGGTGTTTGACCTGGAAAAATATTGGTAGGACATCAGTACCGGAATTCAGTAATATCGTAAAGTAATGACAAATATCGGTTACATTAACGAATTTTCAATTCCCTAACTTTTTAACGACCGTAGAATATTTTAAAGACAAAGATCGGAAAACTATAAGAATGTCAATAGTTATGTATTGGAATATTTTTAAATTATAAAATTATTAACGTGAACTTTTTATTGGTCGTTACATTATTCGATTATGTTTAACGAAAAAAATCGGTGAAATAAAATACTGAATTGCGATACATAATTATTAGTTTTGATTGATTTGGAAGATTTAAATGATGGATTAACGAAAATCGGTGAAATAAAATACTGAATTGCGATACATAATTATTAGTTTTGATTGATTTGGAAGATTTAAATGATGGATTAACGAATTGATTCACTGTCAGTAAGTAATAAAAAAGCCTGTATAAAATATAAGTAAATTTTAGTTCGTCATGCCGGTACATGATATACCGCAATAAATGGATAGGTATATCGCTTATATGCAGGTTTAGCACAGCGAGGATTTGATGATATTCTTCTTTTTTGGGTTATTCTAACCAATTAGGAAATGGTAGTGTAAAGTGAAAACTGTAAGTTGAATAGGTGATGGTTATATGCTATATAAAAATAGATAAAACTGCTAGATGAAACTGCTAAATATAAATCATGTCTTTTGGGATGAAGAGTGTTTAACCGTACTTAGCAATTTATCGTTTATTTAATAAATGTAGGTCTGCTGAAGTCTTTGTCGAGTGTTATAGGGGAGAATTTATACAGCATATACTTGATGGAAGGACTACTAATGACATCCAAATAAAATTTATTTATAATTAGATAAGACATTATTTATTTTAAATATTTTTATTGATTTGACAAATTATTTAGAACATATCCACTCTGTAGTTTGAACAGGGGATAATAAGTCGATAGAAGAAATGTTCGTTATTTTTTATTTTTAAAATATTTGAAATACTTTTGTAAAACAAGTTGTATAACTAATTTTGACAATTGAGGTTTTAAACTTCTGATGGGACTTTTACTAAAACCCATCACATTTTCTAAAAGAAAACATTAATCAAAGCAAATTATACACTTTGATAATATCAATAAAGTTATTTTTTACCATAGATTTAAACTACAATAATATGGTTTTATTTTACACATTTATACAATTTTTCCAGCATTGGTTCTGGTCGAATTTCGACCGCTGGGCGAACTCTAGTTAAAATAAAACATTGTTTGTTTTGTTGCAAATATATGTATGTATGTATATGTATGTGGTACATATTTAAAAAAATTTAATACTCACCTGCATGCATGTTGCAATATCTAAGCCACCCACAATACGACCATCGTTATCCGGACACCAAAGTAGTGCGTCATCAATAAATGGCATCGCTGATAAGGCAAAGCCACTAAGAACTTCGTTCACCAGTGCCAGCGTGTTTTTGTCACCGGTGATGGGAAAAGAAAAAATTTTAAAGCTGGAGACGGCGACACACACCCAACTCTTTGGAGTGTGTATGACCGTGTACGATTAAAGTCTTTTTGTTTCGAAAAAGGGAAATTCCTTTTTTGTTGGAAAATTTTAATTGTTTTGTTTAGGCACTTGTTTGTTTTTATTTTACATTATAAAATTTAAAAATTACTTTTTTAAAGCCAATCAGTTGTTGTTTTTTTAATATAAATTCATATTAAAAAATGGACGTATTTAGTTAATTTATAATAATTGTTTGGTTTTTGTTGAATTGTATAAAAAATTTTGTTTAACTACTTTTTACTACTATATCTAATATTTTATAAAAGTTAAATATATTGAAAAAACACACAATATTTGTTTATTTTTTTATTATTTGAATAAAATTTGGATTAAGGCAACCAGTTGGTGTATAAAAAAGTGATGATAAGTCTGCAAAAAAATCAAAATAAAAAAAAAAAAAAAAAAAATACAGAAAAAGAATTAATAACATTTTAATAATAAATATAAATAATGTTTATTCATAGTTTTTTCTTATATATTAAAATATTTTTGGACAAAAAATCATAATTAAAAACACAAAGCTCGTGTCTTAATTTAAATTGCTGAATAAAAACAATAAATTTAAAGATGGCGAATATTAGTCAGTTTCCGGTTAACGCATTAAATACATCAAAATAAAATTTGATTTATCCGAAAATTTAAATCTTATTTGTTTTTTATATAAAACTTTACATAAAATTTCAGGGTCGGTTTAAATGTTTTATAATTCATTTATTAAATTTTTTTTTTAAATAATTTTATAACTAACAGGTTGATAGATAAATATGTAGAGATTTCGAACAGAATTAAGAAAAAAAAAAAAACTATTTAAATGTTGTTATTTTAAATTACAGAATTTTATTTATAAATTATGAAATATTAATTAAACAAAAATCCTAAAATCAAATTCAAATACAGTGGACGTCCAATAGTACGTATACTCTTTATTACGAATATCCAATAATACGAATGGCAAAATTGTTGCATTGTCTACTCTATAGTACGAATAAAGTCACAATTTTTCTGTTCGATAGTACGAATAACGCATTTTTTATGGGAATTTTGCTTTTATTTACGTATGAATGAAGTTTTTATTATGTTTTTATTTTATTATTTCGGTATCATTCACCTTAAGCTCAGTAATTTTGAAGTTTTTTTTGTATTTATTACAAGTGTTTTGTATTTTTAAAAATCCTATACACACAATTTACTGCATGTATATTTACAAATCAACAATTATTTAGTGTTATTAATTTATTTTATTGGAATTTTGATGACCCAAGAGAAGAAATTAAATTGGATGATAACGCCAATGAGGAAAGTATTTTATTAGTTCCCGACAATAACTCTGCTGAGAACAATATTGAAGCCTCAAAAGTGCTGTTATTGAAAAAGCCGTAAGAATCATTTTACAATGTAATAAACATCGATGTTAAATGATGGATTTTTTAATAAGTAAAATTATATTTATATACATATGTATGTATGAACTGTTAATTTTGAAAGTAGTGTGACATTCCAAACAATGGGTTTAAGGATAACTATTCTAATTTTTAAGAGAAAATTATAAATTAGAGAATTGTGGTATATTCCATTCAAGTTTCTATTAAAAGTTTTATGTAATCTGAACATTTTAATACATTTTAGAACACATATGTAAATTGCAAATTGTCTTTGGCACACATCTTTTTAAAAACATTGAAATTTAAAAACTTCTACATATATCTCATTTCAACCATTGGACTCACGATACTTTCAAAATTAACAATTCATATACGTAAATATGTCCCTTTTATGATTGTTTATGTACAAGAAATTTATTTAAAATAATACACATTTATTATATTTTGTTCCGTTATGTAATTTTTCATGAAAAATATAACAAAAATAAATAAAATCCAATATTTTATGTGTATTATTTGAATTTAAACATACATACAAAATGTGTTGTTCAATAATACGAATTTTTCGGTATTACGAAAGGGCCTGACACTATATAATTCGTACTAGTGGACGTCCACTGTACATATAGTAATAAAACACCGTTATCCATAAGATATTTTAATATGTACAAATCAAACCATACGAATAGATCACATCATACCAGGTTAAAAAAAAGTAAAAACTATAAAACATTAACGAAAAATGAAAATAACATTTTTAGTGGTTCCTTTCTTCTTCCGGTTAATTATCATTATCAACACCATTAACAACAACAACATCATCATCGTAATACTACACTATAAACATCGGCAACAACACCAAACAACCAACTAACAACAACTACAACATCTGCAACAACAATGCAATAAAGTTCAATAACATCAAATCAAATAACATCTGTTGTTGTTGTTGCTGTTGTTGTGCATGCTGCTGTTGAGTTAGACAAAAGAAAGAAAAATTAATATTGACTACAACTAACACATACCGACCGACAGACCGACCGACTGGTGCTGGTTGCATTTTACTCTCCCAATAATACACACGATACTTACTCGAAATTCAGTGTTTAGAAATGGTACTTAATATTAGTACTATTGTTAGAGTAGTTGCATGGGGATATAATTTGGTATCTTTTAGATGTATTTTCTATATAATACTTATGTTAAATAAGATATTACTTTTGGTCTTTTAAAAGTGTCTCTTTGGTTATTAATTTATTAGTATTTGAGATGGCTCAGACTATAGAATCCCTTAAGGTAATATTTTTAATTATTTCGTACTATTTGAAAATTATTATTGTGTCCCTGGCGTAAAATCCTATTGCAAATTTTCTTACTTTCATTTCTATTGTTTTATGTGCAGTATTTTATACGAATAAAATGGATAAACTCGAAAAAACCCACGTACCACAATTTGCGAAAAAATAAAAGTAATAATCAAATTTACTTTACACTCATACTCACTCAACACCAACATCATAATCATAATCATTAAAAATTGTAATATATGTATATGATGACGACAAATGCTGGCTTTTTTTTAAATAAGTATGAAACATTTGAATATTGAAGAAATGAAATAACTAGTAACAATTTCAATTATAACATGCCATTCACAAACAGATACAGTGTGAGTTAGTATAAATATATTTATACTGATACATACAAGTCAATTAGATCCCCCTGCTCATCTAAGTGTTAATTTATCGATGAAGTTATAGATCGACCGAACTAAATAACTGACTAGCTAAATATCTAAAAATAATGATGAAGCAAATATTGACGATGGTGACTGTTGACGACATTACCAATGAGGATGATCATAATGATGATACTTGTATGATCATAGAGTTCATCATGATTACCGTTGTCATTATTATGAAAAATATGTATGTATGCATGATGGATACTTAATTCCACAGTCAATTAAAAGTTGTAAACACTGTTTCTGTCGTTATTTAATTTTATACAAATATTTTTAAAGTACTCAGCAACTCAATTCAGCAAAAAAATAACTTCCAAAGAAGCATAAAAGCATTTACTTACTTTACTTATAGTCATTTTTTGAATCGGACCTTATATGGATTGAGGAATTATTTTTTTCTGATCTGATCTTGATGAAATTAAGCGGGGAGATTTTAGTTCCCATTAAACTTGTTTATGTAGAATTTCGTTGCAATACGGGTATTTTGTGGCAAGTTATGGGGCTGGGGTCAATTATTGACCGATCCTCATAAAATTTGAAAGAGATTTTAGTTTTTGTAAAACATGCATATGTCAAATTTCGTTACTATACTGGCATTTTGAGGCAAGTTATGAGCATTATAGTAATTTTATTAGGGGGCCTTATATGGAGCCTAGGTGAAATCTAGGACCAATATTGCTCATTTTCAATTCCAAACAAACTGCAACTTGTCCCTTTTAGACTCTATCGTGCTTACAACAGACAGACATACAGACGGCCATGACTAGATCGTCTTTGAATCTAATAAGGGCCCAGAATATATTTGTATTTATGGTTCTTAGACGAATATTTCGTAATGACAAAAACAATATACCCCCGTCTTTTTTGATGGTGTGTATAAAAATGGAAAAACTGGTGGGTAGCTCTAATAGTGGTTCGTTCATCCCAGAATTATTTAATTAGAGTGATTGATGTTAATAAACCTTAAATTACTTATAACGAATTTTATAATTCCTCTGACATTAATTATTTGCGATAAACTAATTTTATATAGGTGGATTTAGAAAGAGACTACGTCCAATTATTAAGGCAACAAATTAAACTTGAATTTCATTACAATAAAATTTATACCTTCCTAGTTTCTGATTATACCTTCCTAGATACGTAAAATTTCACAATTACTATAAAATAATACTTGGATATTAAAGTGCAATTTCGGGTGCAAATTTTTATGTGGAATCATGGACCAGTTTTTATTTTTGTGTAAGAAATCTGTCTAAGGAAGGAAACGGAAAAAACTAGTTGATACAAGTTCTAGTTCCAACACTTGCCATGAAGTGGAAGTTCTCTATAATACAACAACACCCTAAGATAATATCAATTACAGACAATAGAATAAAAAAATATTTAAAGAACTCGGAGGTTGAGGCCTCATGATCTTAGAACCCATGTTATTTATATCCTAAGAAACAGTGTATTAGAAAATAAAACTTCAATAGAAATGAGCAAAAAAGTGCAAACCCCAAAACTAAAACAAAAATAGAAAATGAAAAGAAAAGAAAATCTGCTGCTGTAATGTTTGCGAACCAGATACACCAGAAGGAAAATAGGAAAAAAGTGGAAAATATAAAACAACTGCAATAACAACATGAAAATATTTTACATAACATGTTATTGAACTATGAAAAATAAAAACAAAATTGAAATAAGATAGAAAAAAAGCCAACGACAACGGCAACTACTTTGCCACCACTTTTTGTTTTTAAAGTTATTTTTTTCTATTTTAGACATTGTGCTGTGCCACAGTTGCTGCCGCTTCCAAATGGAAAATGCAACATAAAGTTTTTTCTGCTTTCTGACTTCATACTCACTCGTACTAGTATAAAAATGCATTTTTGTAATTTATTTAATTTTATTTTTTATATTCGTTGTTGTTGCTGTTTTTCCTTCGTCATACGTTTTAGTATTATTTTTCTAATGTGCATATTTTTCTATTACTTGTTGTCGTTGTTGTTATTGCTGCCTGCTTGCTGCCAACCAGCCAGCAACTGAATGCAACAATTGCTATGGTTGTTGTACTTGTTTGTTGTGTTTTTTCCTTCTTCTTCTTTTTTTTTGCTTTTCAAAAAGTAACTTCACTTTAGCAGCGAACCACAGCCAAATTCATTATAAGTGAAAGTCGAAGCGCGACTACAGTTCGTTAACATTGAACTACGTGAGTGCGCCAATAGATTACTACATAGCAACAACAACAACTGCAACAA